GAAGCATCCCCTGAAAGCATCTGAAGGACACTTCCTAACATGAGACAATAGGTAGAGGGACCGGTGCAAAGGAAAGAAAGAAGCATCCTTTGAAAGCATCTGAAGGACACTTCCTAACATGAGACAATCAGATTCTAAAATCTGATGTGGGGGATTGCACCACTTCTGAACCAGTTATACTCTTCACCCATCGTAGAAAGATGTCACACATATGGGTGGAAAAACAGAGGAGCACATCCAAGTGGGAAAGAACTAAGGTCAAATAGTGATCTGAACCACACAATATTTATGAAACTCTATCCCAGAAAACATAAAAGTAGGTAATATTAAAAATGTGGCCTAAGTGTAGAGTGGTGACGGACCGTACACAGCATGTCAACTACATCCAAAACCTATGCAGCTGGGAACTGACATCCAAGAAGGAGTTGGATGAGGATCATACCATTGGTAAGTAAACTATTCTCCAAAACGCTGCCACCAGCTACTGACATCCATGTGGGGGTAGGAAAGAGGATCATACCATGAGCAAGTCGACTACAATCCAAAACCCAGGTCATCGGGAACCAACATCCACGTGGGGGTAGGAAAGAAGATCATACCGTCTTTACCTCAAGTTCATGAGACAGGAGGGAATCAACAACTCCCAGACCCATGAACAAAGCACATGTTAATACAAGAAATTGACAGATTGATCCACGAACCTGACATCTAGTATCAAAAAGATGTCTGCGTAACGTAAACGATCTCCCTCCAAATTGAAATTTATCAGAACCACCCCATGCACAGTAACATCCTTGGAATAATAAACACCGAGGGACAGCGGAATAGAAAGAACCATAATAATCTGCAAGTACTTTCACCATGACCCACAACATGGATGGAGTAACAAGAGTATAATTGAGGGAGAACAAATGTGAAGACTTATGTTGATTGGCTCAACTCTAAATCCAAAATCCAGCCACTGTAAACTGAAATCCACATGAGGGTTGGATGAGGAATCCCAATAAAATGGCTGAACTGCAATTTTGATGGCTCATTCCCATTTATATTTATGTTATATTGGAGGATATCACATCATCTATACCAACAGAACACCACTGCCCTACTCTCAACTGAATGATTTTATAATAATTTCTCAATTTTGTTTGTATTTCATTAATCCATTCAGGAGGATGCCTCCACGGTCCACCACCCGGCAGCTTGGAACAGGAAAGTGGTATGGACTCTCAAATTCCACTAGAAGGAAAGGGAGGAAAAACACGGTAGAGAGCCCAGAGGAACAACAACACCTGGGACAGTGCAATGGGTGACCACGAAGCCCAATTTTTATAAGCAGACCATAGTGAGTTATTCAAAGAAGGCATGCCAGGGATGGGCAGCTATTTCCTTCTGCTTTACCCATGTAGTTCATGGGTGAGTACAGTCTGGGATGGGCAAATTTTTAAAACAATTCCATCATGAGGATAAACCTACAAGTGATCTTGTGGAACACCCCTCCTCTGCAGTGTGCATTGTGTGGCCATGGAACTATAATACCTAAGTTGATATGGCCTTACAGTGTGGATTTGATTGGTTAAAGAATACCTGTTCAGGCACCACTTGCCACAGAGCGAGATACAAACAATGAGTAATAACAAAAAGGGGGGAAAGGCCCCTGAAAATAAATAAAGAATAATAATAAATAACTTACCCAATCAAAGTCTCACTGAAGTCTGAAGAATGGCTACAGGTGGAAGATGATAGCCCAAAGTGGAAGAAACTGGGATCCTATGCAAATACTGAGAGACAAATGTATTAGGGATAGCCCACATGCCCGATTGAAGATGAGATACCAATGAAATGTAAGGCGTCAAATTCGATAAGAAGATACCCAGAACAAAGAACAGGAGGAATAGAATAAAGGGGAATAAGCCAATCAAAATAAAAGCCAAATCCAATTGGTGAGGGTGGAAGGAGAAAGATTACAAACAGAGGACGGCTTACAAGGAATAAAGAGGTAGGAATGGGAACCACGGAAGGAAGCCGTGCTGGCAATATAACAGCTTAGGGCATGTACGGGACATAGATGTCTATTGGGATCAGGCCGAGGATAAAGGTGGGAAATGGAAGGTAGGGAAATCGGCAACAAATGTGCTACCAAAAAAGAAAACGGTTGAGTGTTGATGCACAGTCTCCACACGTGATTCCAAAGTCTAAGGTACATTATTGAAAACATACTGACAAAGAAAAGAGGCCATACATAAATCCCTAAGATAAGGGGGAAGCAAACAACAGAGAAACCACGTGTGTAAAGCGCAAGCTGAAGTTGACAATCTAGCCAACATGGAAGTAGCAAAGGAAATGGTTTCCCTCGAAAAGCCCTCAAGGTCTCGGTGGATCATCTTGTAAAGGAGATGGATAGTAGATAAATACCATAAAAGGGAAGTAAGGGTAAGATAAAGGCATGAAAACTGGACATGGGTTAAATGCACAGGAAATTCAGGGCCTGCCCCCCACAGAGGTAAAATCGACTCAATTGTTGAGATTCGAGAAATGGACATTCATCCAGTTGGTAAGCTAATGTTAACTGATATGTAGCCCATGGAGGGTGAGACATGCTGCCACCCTCAACCAACTGTGAAGCAAGTTGCTCACCTAATATCTGGGGAGGGTGAGAAAACTAAATACAAAGAGGAAGAACTACTGTGCAACAAAGAAGGACGGGGATCATAATAAATAGGACAATGGATAAAACATCACATACCTGAGAAATCATGTCTAAAAATGCAGTATTAGGCCTAGCTGATTATGCATGTGGGGTATAAGAAGACACAACAAAATCTAGTGGTGGAAAAAAGGCTATCAAAATCTTCATCAGCCTGAACAGGTTTGGCTTACTAAGGAGGAAATGGGGCAAGTTCAGGAGAAGGAGGTTGACTCGTATAATGATAAATCTCGGGGCAGATAATCACAGATAAATATAACGATGGGTCACTCCCACCTGCAGCCTAAAAAACAGTGCTAATAGGAGGTATGATAATCGATGTCGTAACATGAGCCTAAGAATTCATTGTAGAAATATATATCAAACAAAAGTGTTTGATGTAAAAAATGTGAGTGTGAGAAAAAAAAATGACTAGGAAATGAAGTTAAAGTAAAATATATCTTTAATGTAAATAAAAAAAACATGAAGAAACCCCACTTTGAAAATTAAATGATTAAAGTCACGAATGCAAATCACACAATGAGCACCAAAAGAAAAAAACATCTGAACCAGAGTACTGCCAAACGTCATGAAAGTATGTCACACTCTTATTGGTGAAAGGTTTTGTTGCATAATGATTTGCGTGAGAGATGCATTGGAATCAGTCAATTCCAATTTAGGGAAGAGAAAAGGCTTGTGGCATGCACAAAAGTGTTTGGCATATAGAGGGCAGCACTGACACAAGAATAGCTATTTTACTGAGAGGAGGTAATGTACCATATCGGAAGAAAGCCTTTCTAACATCTTTATATCTAACATTCTCATTTCTACAAATTATGACAACTGGAGGTGTTTTGCATAACTAATTTCTTTTGTGTAATATGACAGGAATAAAAAAGGTTAAAAAATCAGTTAAACATAAAATAAAAAAATCTTGAACCGTAGTGCTTTGAAAAGGTAGACCTTTCTTTGTAATTGGGAATGATTAAGTTAACTAGAGGTGGAATGACATCATGATCATGCAAAGTGAACTTTTGCTTCAATTTCTTATGGATATTTCAATAAAGTTACTGATATCATGGAAAGGATGTGGATGTAAAAACTGTTACGATGTTAGGGACACTCCACAAAATTCCAATAAACCAAAATAAAGTGATACAAGCTGACTGATTGCACCACAGAAACAGATCTTTATGGGTAAAGAATGGGAAAAAATAACACTGATAAAAACATCCGAGTCACATACACAGTTGTGTAATTTAATTAAAAGTACATTTGTAAAACACTTAGTTAAGAACAGTAAAAATAACCTGGACAACAAGTGTTCCACAAGGGTACTTTTCCCAGCACCTGCAGGCCCAATCACTACCAAGTTAATTATAGGCTTGATCTGGCCCCCCTCTTTCACATGTTTAGCCGACCAATTTCTGCCTGGCTCTTTAGACCTGTAAGAAAGAAATGCAACACTTATTAGCCTCAAGAAGATACAGATGCCCAATAGTTCAAAGGCAAAAAAAGTGTCTTTGTTGAATATTATAATTTTATTACATGCTTGGTATTCATATTCAACTATAAAAATTTTAAAAATGTCTACAAAATTATATAAACTGTTCCATAACCAATTCATGCCAAGTTTTTTATATAATGATATCATACAAGATTACTTTTATGTGAAGAAACAAAGGAACAGACATTATCTCTATGCCATCACGTTTGCACTAATCAAGTCATATAACATCTAAACTACACATCAACAAACACTCTAGTTTATAACAAAGTAAAAAATAACAATATGTTCATAAGCTTTCATGAGTCATCCAGTCTTGATATACAATGATAAATTAATAACAGCTGTGCTGCAAGACAGGAAACAAAGAGGTAAACATTAAAACTGGAGAGCTATAAAGGCCTGAAATACTCTTAACAGAGGTCTTGGGAATAAATAAGACTGCTAAAAATGACTAACACACTTTGCCAAATAGCCAGGCAACATTTCATTGTTGTTCTAAGCAGTATTTAAGATGGATGTGGCAGTCCTAACAACTTGACAAGCTCCAGTACCAAGAAAGCAGTATCATCAGAATGAGCAATGGTGTTCCAAGAATATTTTAATAGTTGTAAGCCCATTCTTTTTACTACAGGTCAATTTAGAATTTTTATCCATCATTCTGGTGATATTTCACCAAACTTCCTTTTAAATAGTTCAAATCACATTCACAGTTCATACTGGAACTTCTCAGAGTTTAAGAAAACCAAATGGTTGATGGATTTTTGGGAGATCAGAGCTGGATTTGTAAGCTATCTGTTTGCTGAGGGTCAGGATTTCCTTGACAGGAAAAAAGCTCTTTAATACACTTGATAAATTTATATAAATAAATAACTACATTTTTACTAAACAACTGAAAAAACCTCACTTTTATAAGGGTTAACAATGACATCTCAGCAATAATTTTTTAATACCAAAAACTCATTTTCTAAAAGCTTTATGTGTGACACATTCCTAAAACAATGAAAAACATGCCTTTCATGATGTTTAGAGGCAGCACATTTAACAATCACATTTTATAAAACAACAAAAACAGGCCTTTAATAATGTTTAAAAGTGACACATTTTGTGTTGACGAAAAGTATGAACATTCCTTTCTGACATTCATTTGCAGTGTGAAAATGGTTTTTCATGTGCACACTTGGCAGAAAATACACATAATTCCATATATTTCTTATAACTTTTGTTGAAAGAAGTCTGATCAATCTTAATTCTGTCAGTCAATAAACAGTCTAAGACAATGAGAACAATAAAGTATCTTATTATCACTATTTCTTCTGCTTTACAGTTTTCTTGTTCTATTTTGTTTAGATTCTAAACTTTTAAACAACTTTATTTTCTGATTGCTTTAAACTTCAACAGAAACACCACTAATACTCCATCCACAACATTTATTCTTGCTTGTTTGTTTGGAATTAAGCACAAAGCTACACAATGGGCTATCTGTACTCTGCCCGCCACGGGTATCAAAAGCCGGTTTCTAGCATTGTAAGTCCACAGACATACCGCTGTGCCACTGGGGGGCCCACAACATTTAAGTTTCATACAAACATTCCAACCTTTCACTTATGACTAAGACAAACATAACTTGCAGATATTCTTCCACTGTACATAGACTAGTTTAGCACTGAAAGTTATAATTTTCCTATAATGAAAATGTATTTCCAATAGGTACTTACCTCTACTCACATAAATAGCTATTCTCATTCAGTGCTGCCCTCTATATGCAAAACATTTTTTTCATGCATGCCACAAGCCTTCTGCCTCCCCTCCATTGGAAATGACTCATTACAATGTGTCTCTCATGCAAACCATTATGCGACAACCCTCCAGCAATGAACATGCAACACACTCTCGTTACGCATGTGACTCTCTCTATTCAATTCTACCAGACTATCACTTTCAGTTTTGGCAGAAAATGGAAGCATCAGTTTTCAGTGTGGAGGAAGCATGGGAAGTGTGAGTATAGGTAAACTATAACTTCTGAAACAGTATATTACCTCCTCTAACATAAATAGTTAGAATCCCACATTGAATAGGAGGAGGGAAGAAATGAAGCATCCAAAGGAAACACCTTGAGATGAGAGAGTCAGATTCGAAGATCTGATGTGGGAGACCACACCAAGTCTGAACCGGGTATACTCTTCACCCATCAGAGAAAGTTGTGGTATATATGGGCAGAAAAACAGTGAAGCACATCCAAAAGGTGTGGTAAAAAACAATGAAATTGCTTCCAGGTGTAGACTGGCTAGGGTGCGACAGACCACACTTGGCAAATCAACTACATCCAAAACCATTTCTACTGGGAACCGACATCCATGCGGGGGTAGGATGAGGATCATACCATCTTTACCTCAAGTTCAAGAGACAGAGGGGATCTGAAACCCCCTGACTCTGGAACAGGGCACATGTTAAGAACAGAAAATGATATCGATTTGGTATCAAAAAGATGTCTACCATAGAGAAATCAATTCCATCAACAGTGGAACTGACCGAAACCAACCTAGGCATAATAAAATTCTCAGAATAAGATACACTGAGGGAGAGCAGAAGGGAAAGAACTATAACAATCCCAAGTACCTCCACCATGACCTAAAACACAGTTAAAGTATAACTGATGGAGGAAGATGTATGAGAACTTATGTTGAGTGGTTCTACCAATGGGTTCCGCCATTATAAGGTGAAGACGAGCAATTATAGGAGCATGTAGGGAGGGGCCCTCACAAATGAAATTAATGGTAAAAAGTTGAAATTATAAATTAAATGGAATTAATGGTACGAAGTATAAAGTATAAAATAAACGGAATTAATGGCAAGAAGTATAAAGTACAAATTAAATGGAATTAATGGCAAGAAATAGTGTAGTGAAACAAACAGATGGATGTGATGCTCTGTGTTGAAGGAAAGATAACAAATATCAATAAACCCATAAAAAGAACTATGGGGGAAATCAAAAATAACAGACACTTATTAAGCCTAATCAAACAAGCCACTTAACCTAATTAATGATTAATGTGGAAATAGAACTACTATTAAATTGAAAATAAACATTTAAAAAGCCTAACTGAACAATACATAATAAACAATATCACTAAGCCCTAAATGAAATACTTAAGTGAGAGTAACAAATTTCACAAGGTTTACGAGTGACAAGTTCAATACTCACTTTACATTAAGTTTAGAAGTTACACCTTCGACAATAGCTACAGAAGTCTGTGTAGAACAACTATCGTGGTTATCTGGTTCTGATGATGTGAACTGCTTAAACTGAAGATTGCCATCTTTTGGAGATGCATTTGTGTTTGCTTGTTTGATTCTTACTCTACTGATATTGTTCTCTTCAATATCAGACCTTTCAATGTTTAAGAAAATAAAAGTCTCAACAAAATGGCAAACAAAGAAACATAAACACAATTCCAAGTATACAATTAATATTTTATGGATGAAGTTTCTAAACTTTACTCATTAAAGAATTGGGGCTGTGATTAAAAGAAATTTAATGCATTTTTGTGACATCTGAACTTGCTTATAAATTACTTTATTGAAAGACCACAAAATCTCAATGTTATTTTAACTTTTTGGCTGGGTAAAGAAAACCGTTTCTTGACAAGAGAAACTTTTATTTCTAGAATACTAAATACTGTATCCATCACCTTCCAAACTTAATAACAAGTTCTAAAAAAAAGGAAATAATCTGTTAAAAACAAAAATTATACATAGCAAAATGTCCCCAAAAGATTATATTAAGATACATTAAAAAATCTCACACATAGCTTAAATGGGGTCTTATTTTATTAAAAAATGTCTTAAAGGCTCACCTCAATTCCTTTGTTTCATAACCAATTACAACTGCTTCTTTACTGGGTTCAAACTTCAGTCGACTAACAGTATTTCCTACATCTTCAAACACTTTAGGTTTCTCTGATACCAAATTCTCTCTGTAGTGACAACCTAAGATATTTACATACACAAAAGACAGTAGTAATCCTGAAATCTAAAAACATGCAACTAAAGTTGCCAACACAGCAAGATACATGATATTCTTAAAACAAATAAATTATCTGAAGCTTTATGACTCTCACTCAAGTTTTTCATCAAATTTTAGGTTTTCTTTAAATATACACCAGCACTATTTAATGATTAGGTGATTTAATGCAAAGCCGATAGGCAGTAGGTTCTGCATCACCTGTACTTGCAACACCTTTTGTAACTAGTTTGGATGATGGTTTTTGTCGTTATTTTCACCTTTATGGGTATCATTTAGCTATTAATCACACCTGACATTTGTTCTTTGTATTGGAAAGCAGTTCTTCTTATATTGTAATTGTTCTGGTTGATTATTCCTTATTTTCACCTTTACTTGGATGTAATTTAAGTAGTCAACTTATCTGCGATTTTTTTTGTCTATTCCTTTCCAAGTTCTTTGTTATGACTTGTAGGAGTAGCACCACAATTTGAAATTTTTACCCCAATCTTTTTTAAGACACATTATTGGCTAGATAGCTTTTGTTTAGACATCTTTCACACATAACTGTCCAAACTTCTAAGTAAGCTAAGTGTCAATATGATTTCTGATTGGCCAATATTTTATTCAGTGTTACGAAGTTGTTTGATTCTAATTTGAATGCAGCTGCAGGAGTACAAAGTGGATAAAATTTTAACAGAGTTGATGTTATATTGCACACACATAACAAGTTTACCCAACTGTCATTGCAAACCCACAAAACAAAAAAAAGGGAATTAGAGGGTTTAAATAGGGATTAAAAATCAGAATAATTCTATCAAAATAGGAATATCCCTCAATCTCGCGACAGAACCAAACTACATGAAACTCAGTACAAACTTACTAAGTAGTGTCTAGTTATGTGATAAAAAAATTTGCTTAATTTGATTCAATATCCACCATTTTCCAAGTTATGAAATTTTGTTGTGAGGTGCTGTTTTGATGAATCATGTAATATGAAAAACAAATTTCAAAATTCAAACAAAAATAATAACACAAGAAGTAATCACCAGGATTAATGTAATACTTTCTGTACACATTTCCTGAGGTCCTGAAAACAAAATGCATAATCGAAAAAAAAAGAAGGGTTCTAAATACCACATTTATGAAATGCATGTTGGAAGAAGGGGGTTATTTCAGTTTGGAAGTTACCAATATGTATTTTGAGCATTCTACTTTTATGACCAAACTATAATTTTACCAAAACAATATTCAAAATAACTTCTAATAACAGTTAACATAAAATTTAGGAGCTACATTAGTTACTGCTTAGAAGAACAGATATAAGAGAATGTAAGAAAAAAATTTAAATCCATTTATATTTTAATTATTTTATATGAAAATCTTAGTAATCATGATAAATGAAAAAGTAAACAAATTTTTGGAAAAGTTCCTTAAGTAGACCCACTAGAGAACTTTAAGTTAAAGACAACTAATCAATTTATACATGAATATTTTGTGTACATTTTGTATTTCTGCATAAATCATTGTAGATTATTATCTTTACAGATAAGTGGCCTACATTTAACTCCGAAAGACAAATACCTGAATTCAGAATTGCTCTTCTGTAGTTTGCCACTTCCTTCAGCAACTTTTGACGACTGTATGGTTTTGTAAATTGACTAAAACCTTTTCCAAAACAAATGGTACGTGCAAACATTGAAGGATCAGCTTTCAGTGTTGGTGATCGAAGTGTAACTTCAAGATGACTACACAAGAGAGAATCCAAACAGAGATAACTTTGATAATTATATTCTTCACTATTTAAGCCTGAAGGAGGACCGATTATTTCTTTGATGCTTTTTGTCGAGTCCTCTTCATTTCTCTGTCTTTCAAATTTTTGAGGCAATGAAATTTTCCTGTCTTTTTTTAATGCTAGTGCTAGATCAATGCTATCTTCATCAGTTAAAATCTTATCATCATCTTCACTAAATGATTTGCTTGATGCAACACATTCATCAGACTGATACACACTCAACCTACCAAATTCAGGTAACAATTGTTTAGGAGGCTTTTCAAAGAATGTATCCAGGTCCAATACCTTACTGAGCATATTAGTGTTCTTACCAGCCGAGACAGAGCATGTATTTAATTGCAACATGGATGGATGTGTAGAGGCACTACCAACCACAGATGAACACTGTGATACTGGAGTGAGTTGATTCACATTATCATGCTCACAATCTTTAAATAGTAATAAAAAATCTGCATTTGTGTCACAATGTGATTGTTTTTCATGAAATGTCGCCCAGTCCTTTGTTTTGCATAAAGCACACACTCTGCATTCATTACTACCACAAATAACCACTGTGGACGCATTATCTGAAGAAGATAGAATGTTACATTTTACATTTTCCTGTACATCATTTTCTGGGTATTTCAGCTCTCTCATGAAATTGTCTTGTTCATACCAAATATCCTGGTTAGGTAACCTTTCTCCTGACAGAAAATTTTGGCCAGAACATTGAACAAAAAGTGTTCCTTCAATCTTAGATTGTTGGTCAGACAGTTGTTTCAAGGAACATGTGGTACTTCCTTCAGTATCAAGATGTTGGCTAGCTAACTGATCTAGAAAACACCCAGTACTTCCTTCAGTGTCAAGATGATGGCTAGCTAATTGATCTATGAAACATCCAGTACTTCCTTCAGTGTCAAGATGTTGGTTAGCTAATTGATCTAAGAAACACCCAGTACTTCCTTCAGTGTCAAGATGTTGGTTAGCAAATTGATCTAAGAAACACCCAGTACTTCCTTCAGTGTCAAGATGTTGGTTAGCTAATTGATCTAAGAAACACCCAGTACTTTCTTCAGTGTCAAGATGTTGGTTAGCTAATTGATCTAAGAAACACCCAGTACTTTCTTCAGTGTCAAGATGTTGGTTAGCTAATTGATCTAAGAAACACCCAGTACTTTCTTCAGTGTCAAGATGTTGGTTAGCTAATTGATCTAAGAAACACCCAGTATTTCCTTCAGTGTCAAGATGTTGGCTAGCTAATTGATCTAAGAAACATTCAGTACTTTCTTCAGTGTCAAGATGTTGGCTGGCTAACTGATCTAGAAAACACCCAGTACTTTCTTCAGTGTCAAGATGTTGGTTAGCTAATTGATCTAAGAAACACCCAGTACTTCCTTCAGTGTCAAGATGTTGGTTAGCTAACTGATCTAAGAAACATCCAGTACTTTCTTCAGTCTTAAAATTTTGGTTAGTTAACTGATCTAGAAAACATCCAGTACTTTCTTCAGTGTCAAAATGTTGATTAGCTAATTGATCTAAGAAACATCCAGTATTTCCTTCAGTGTCAAGATGTTGGTTAGCTAATTGATCTAAGAAACACCCAGTACTTCCTTCAGTGTCAAGATGTTGGTTAGCTAACTGATCTAAGAAACATCCAGTACTTTCTTCAGTCTTAAAAGTTTGGTTGGTTAACTGATCTAAGACACATCCAGTATTTCCTTCAGTCTCAAGATTTTGGCTAGCTAATGTATCTAAGACACATCCAGTATTTCCTTCAGTCTCAAGTATTTGGCTGCTAGTGT